CAATATTGTTTCACAGAAGAAGTAGGATTGCTTCAACATTGCGTTGATATATTGCATTACGATTAAAAGCAATATTAGGTACAACTTACAATGCAATATTGCATTAATATTTAATCAATATTATTTAGCTCAGTTAAAGTTCATTTTTTTATCTGGACTGTGGCAACGTTGCAAATTTAGGGTTTTGGTTGGTAAATACAGTTGTCAAGTTGATCGCATTGATTAAAACAAACTAGTTATAAATCTAATTGTGGTTATGTATAAATTATTGTAGGTTACATTGTGCAACTGTCAAGTTGAGTTGTCGAAATTCGTAGTTGAAAATGCAATTAATTTGGCTTTGGTGGTGCTTGGATGGGTAAAATCATATAATAAAGTAATTAAATATAGGTTGCTTTACGGCCCAGAAGAGAAAGTATTCCTGGCGGATAATAATCTTCGCTTTGAAAAAAATTTATATAAAAGAAATTAAAATTTTTTGTGAACATAAATGTTGTCCAATGGTGAATAATGTGAAAATAATGTGTGATGTAATATTTATAGAAGCAAATTCGTTACTTTTTTACTCCAAAAATGTCCATAAGGCGATGTACTTTTTCTTCCATTGTGGCATTTGGCATAATTTCATCAAAATGAAGTTTTGCCCTCAAAAGGGCTTTTACATTCGAATTCGTTGCTATTATTTTTGGCATAATTATCACTTTATTTATAATTGACAAGTAAATTATCAATAATAAATATTATTGTCAATTTTACAGTGTAAAAGTACCTATTTAATTAAATTCTTTAGCAGAAGTAACATTTTTAAATACTAAAAATACCAAGTAAAACTGGCATAAGCTACCAACCTAACAAAAAAACAAGTCCAGATAAAAAAAAATGAACTGTAACTTTAAAAGTAATTTGCGGATATATACAGGGTGTTATAAAAAAGCGTTTTTCGATCTGACTCACCCTTAATTAGTTATTAATTAAATAAATTAGCCAATTACAGATGTGCTTTACCAGGATAAGTAAAGGTGCGACAAACTAAAAAGGATGTCAAAAAACTTAACCTAAAAATAAAAACACTGGCAGTAGAGAAAAGTAGCCTATTATGGGGTACCATTTTAATTTTTTTAATTATTTTCTTTATTAAGTTTTGTTAACTTTTCAGGTTAGCAACGTTGGTCTTTAATATGCAAGCAGGATAATACTAGATAAAAAAATCCTTAAAACATTAAACATAATTTATGTGTAAAAAAATATTTTAAAAATTCTGTGTCTACCCCATATAAGGCTACCAGGTAGCCTATTATGTGGTCCCTTTATATAACCAAATATAACGTACCTGAAAAAAATATCTGGTGCAATTGTATATATGGGTGAATCTCACGAAATGTGCTAATTGCTAATTAAACTTTTTAACAAAATATATATTTACTTAAAAACTGGTACAATTCTAGAATAAATATGCTCTCTAAAATACCACGGTATCCCCAACATTTAACAGCCATGGCTGTTAAATGTTGGTAAAACAGTTTTTAAGATATGGGCGAATCTCACGAAATGTCCCCCGATGGTGTTACCCCGTGATATTTAATAAAACTAAATGAGTTTGACCTACACTTTTATTGTGTTTTGATCTTTCATAATTAAGTAGATATTACAACTCAGGTTCCAGATTTTTAACCGCAATTAATTATTTTGTACACTGTATTAAAATTCTAAAACCTATCCTCCGTGACTGTTACTCTTACTAGGTTAACCTATATGTTTTCAAATATCTGAGGTAGTAAAAGCATACTAAAAATATCAGTTCACTAATAAATTAAACAAATACAAAGCAATCGAATCAAATATAAAATATTATTAAAAATTAAAAAAAATAATTTTTATAACCATTTATGTAGGTGTAACAAAAATTGATTCTATCCTCCGTGAATCTGTTTTTGCTTTAAAATTTATGCAACGGATGGCGCTATAGATGCATGTGATTCCTGAAGGTCAGTTAAAATTTATATGCAGATGAGAGTGTTGCTGTTTTATAATTCAAAAGTTTAAATTTATTAATTTGCTATTTAAAAACCTATCCACCGTGAAGTTTAATATCTCAGTAAGTAGATTTTTTTATAAATATTTTATGTATGTATAATTGTATTTTGGATATCAGTTTTCGTCACTATAATGCTGCTTGGGGATTGGCTACTTTATTTAACTAATGCGATCAACCACGACAAACTTGGTGAACTATGTACAATATGGTAAGAACGTTTTAAATAAATCCGGACAACTAGATACTATCTATACAGATATGTCAAAAGCATTTGACACTTTGGACCATAAGTTGTTAGTAACAAAACTGTTTTCTTTTGATTTAGAAGTGTCAATAATAAATTTAATTACTTCGTACTTGATGAACAGAAATGTATATGTTAAAGTCAATGGCTTTGTTTCAAAATCATTTATTCAGACATCAGGGGTTCCTCAGGGGTCAAACCTTGGACTGTTATTTCTTTTATTTATAAACAATCTGGTTGAGGTATAAAAAAATACAAACTGTACTTTATGCGGACGATGTGAAAATCTTTAAGACTATTAACAATGCTAGTGATTGTGAAGAGTTGCAGCGGGACTTGCTTGTGTTTTCGGACTGGTGTCGTAGTAACAAATTAACAATACTGCAGTACTGACAATAACTAAAAAAACTTTTCCGTATGTGTATAATTCTAAATTAAATTCAACAGACTTAAAGCGCGTTAGTGAAATGAAAGACTTAGGAGTTACAATTGATGGAAAGCTAAGCTTTTCTCAGCACATAAACAACATTGTTTCTAAAAGTCTCCAAATGTTAGGTTTTGTCGTTCGAAATACTAAAGATTTTGTGGATATAAAAAGTATAAACTTACCATAATATGGCATAATATGGTAAGTTTATACTTTTTATATCCACAAAATCTTTAGTATTTCGAACGACAAAACCTAACATTTGGTGACTTTTAGAAACAATGTTGTTTATGTGCTGAGAAAAGCTTATCTTTCCATCAATTGTAACTCCTAAGTCTTATATTATAACTCAATTGTACGCTCAAACTTGGACTATTGCTCAATTGTTTGGCATCCATATATGACGTACATATACCTACAAAGTATTGAGAAACCCCAAGAGAGATTTCTTAAGTATGTAGAATATAAAGAAGTTGGGGTATATAACAAATTCGCTAACTATGACTGTTTATTGGAAAAATACAATTGTATAACGTTGGAGCGTCGAAGAATTATTAATATCTTGCATTTCCTTTATAAAGTATTAAGAAATAAAATAGACAACCCCTTATTATTATCTATGATATCATTTAAGATATGTGGAGTTAACACTAGAGCTAACCAAACTTTTTATGTAATGAGATCCAGGACATAACTTTTCTACATCCCCAGTGGCTTTGCTTAGTTGGTATGGAAATGAAGCCTGTAAACCACAGACCACCAAAACAAATGGACGGCGCATTGCCATTCAATAACAATGCTTTGTTTGCGGTCAACAAACGGTCACAGTCTAAGCGTTAAATTGGCTAAAGAATTTTATGTTTTCTTCCAGTGACGTATTGCGTACTCCAAAAATAATAAGTAGGTAGGTATTAATATCTTATGGCGGGTGACCTTGAGAGACGCTGACAGACGCCATTCAATTTAATAAATAAATGGAAACTAAACACATCCGCCACTTCCATAGACCTTTAAGTTAACTTAAATGTCTATGGATGCTTCCCAAATCTGTCATCTGTCAATTAATATAGTAAAGCGTTTTTTTCTTTATTTTATGAAATATATTGTAACATTAGATAATGACTGCAATTGAACACCCTGCTGCAAAAAGGAGGTAACTCCATAAAAGTTATTTTTGAGTCCTCCTTGCATTAAACAATGCAGAATAGTCTAGTTCAAAGTTGTAAGGGTGTAAAAGTCACTTTTGTAAAAGTTACCCCCTTTTTGCAGCAAGGTCTTCAATTGTTGAGCAATGATCTGTAAAATATATAATGGATTTCAGTAAAAAAAATAATAGAATCTGTGTATAATCCGAATTAGACTTCTTTTTTGCCGTTATTCATTTCGTATAACAAATATAATATATGAAATATAATATTATAACAAAATGTAATATAATATTATAACAAATATAATAATAGAACAAATATAATATTATAACAAAATTTAATATAATATAACAAATATAATAGAATTTTTAGCCTATAAATATGTTTAAATATGTCAATAAATATCAGCTGATGCTAGCATTGCCAACCCTGGGGTAGTATGTTTTTGGGACGGCGAGTAATAGCGCGATTTGACGGATTTGTGACGTTTGCGCGCCCAAGTTCACCCGCCATGAGATATTAATACCACTATACTTACAAACGATATTTCCATGTATTGTTATTTTTAGTAAAAAATAATGTATTTAAACTCCATAATTAACTTAAACACGATAGAAATACACAAACGAAAACACAAAACAACAAGCTGTCAACCTTTTTCTATGCTGTCAAATATGACGAATTTACCAACGTTGTTAATATTTAATTTTAATAATTATTAAATGATTTACTTTCTTTAAATAGAGAAAAATATCTAAAGAACACATCCTTTTTACAATTTTTTTATTATTCAAACGAATTGCTGGTAATTTTTAATGTTTATTATGTTATGATGAACGTGTAATCTATACTTCTGACAACGTTGGAAGCCGTGTTTCTTTCGACGGTGTTTAGAATGTGAAACTATATATGCTTTACTTGCTTTTTAAACGTAAACAAATCCGTCCATTTGTTTTGGTGGTCTGTGCTGTAAACATATTGATATATTTCATGTAAATTTTGCTTTATATAAAACCAGTGTAAAGTCAATTGGCTTTTAAATCTATTTTGTAAATATTAATATATTATTAATGTATGTCCTTTTCAATAAATGGACCGTGTGTCTGTTGGAGTTGTAATAAATAAATAAATAAATAAAATAAAGGGTTTCTTTTTTTAACAAAAACACTTTCGAACCGTTCCGTACATTACCAAAGATTACGTAGTTGTTTGTGTGTATATTATTAAGTATTATTAGGTACCTATACAAAACATCTATTATAACTATATATAGTTATCCAATTAAAATCGTGTTTGTTGAACTTGATAAAATTATATTTAAAGCGGAAATCCCTCATCATATCTTATTGCAATAACTGTTGCTGTGCTACCATGATAAAGTGCGCTCCATTGCTTATTATTTTGTTTGGGCTTGTGGTAATTTGATTTAATGTTTATTTATATGTATTTTGTATTAATGCCAATATACCTACTTAGAGTGCACAAGGGCCCATAGTGGAAACGTTAAATGGAAAAATATTGGGTAAAATTCGTACTACCAGAGCTAACGTTACATATTATTCGTACACTGAAGTGCCCTTTGCCAAGCCACCAATTGGAAAATTAAGATTCCAAGTGAGTATACATGGTGTACTCTCTTAATATGAATTAGTCAAAAATATCTAATTATAAGTCATATTTGACTAATTGTCATTGCGGAAAAGCAGTCACTAATAATTAGTCAAATTCTACTGAATGAAATAGTCAAATTAGTAGATTAACATTTAAAATAGTTATAACCCAGCCGGGATTTGAACTCGGGTCTGTCGCTTGTCAAGCGGATGTCATAACCAATGAGCCATCAGTCACTTTTATAAATATTGTTCATAATATTTTAAAGTTGTGTTGCTGTTTTGATCTAAACTTTTTACATCTTTCTTTGATTTTAATGCATTTAACTCAAACGATAGTTTGTTGTTCACTTGTGGAAATTTTTCTCTGAAAAAGTTTTAATAAGTAAAAATAAGAGTTTTTAAAGTCTTACTTTCTCTTAAAAAAGTCTGAATAAGACTTATTAAGTCGGAAAAAGTCTGAATAAGTCTTATGACTATAGTAAGTCAGACTACCCTGATAGCACAGTTTATTCTAAGAATGTTTTTTAAACCTTCCAGTGGAAATATTCTTAGGATCATGCTATATTTCTTCTAGTCATGTTCTAAGAATGTTTTTTAAACCTTCCAGTGGAAATATTCTTAGGATCATGCTATATTTCTTCTAGTCATGTTCTAAGAATGTTTTTTAAACCTTCCAGTGAGAATATTCTTAGGATCATGTTATATTTCTTCTAGTCATGTTCTAAGAATGTTTTTTTAAACCTTCCAGTGAGAATATTTTTAGGATCATGCTATATTTCTTCTAAAGAACATGCTTAAAAGAAATATAGCATAATCCTAAGAATATTCTCATTGGCCTATAGGCAGGTTCTTAGAAGGTGCAAAGTTTAGTGGTAAAAATTAATCCACTCTAAACATAAGCTTAGAATGTTGAGAAAGTAATTGCTATAGAAAGTTCATTTAGGAATATTCCTGGAACATTCTGTTAAGCATATTCAGTTCAGTTAGGTACCTATATAATGGTAAAATATACCATAATCTACGTATAAAGGTACCTATACTTAGTATTAAATACTAAGTAAAAAACACAACCCAAAATATTTTTTTATAGTTATTTGTCAAATTAAAACAATATTCGATAACAAAAACACTTTTACTAAAGGTATCTAAATTATCCGGCTTTTACATAAAATCTTCTATCCAACTTAAATACAATGAAAAATGTTTTTTTTTATGAAGAACTATTTGGTTTTTTTTTATGAAGAATTATTTTATAAGCAAATATTTTATTTTTTTATATTTTATTTTATGTTAAAAATAAATATTTATTAATTTGTATACCGATTTTTTATTTCTAAATTAACATTTTTATGTATAATAATCCTAACTATCTTCAACTTCAATCTAATCTGACTTATCCCACAAAATTTTCCAATTTTACTTTTTATGAAATAATGTCATACAACTTATGGTTTAGAAGTCAAATTGTTTATTTAATATTTTTAAATAAATATATATTAATACGTCGCAAAATTTTTTAAGGGGACGACAAATACATTTCACTCTCATATATGACAGTGAGGCGTATTTGTCGCCTCCTGAAGAATTTTACGAATGTAGAATCCAACATATTAGAACGTGGGTATCTGACATATTTGGAAATATTCTCAAAAGCTTTCTAGAAGCTCCATAAGAAACCTTCTAAGAACATTCCAAAAACGTATTCTTAAAATGTTCTTAGAATGCTTTTTAGGAAGGTTTTAAGAAGCTTCTAGGAATCTAATTGCATCATTAAAATGGTATCTATTAAATGTTTTAAGAGTCCCTAAGAACATTCTTAGCAATAAGGGAAGGTTCTAAGAATATTCCATTCTTCCGGGTCATATCTTCTTAGATTCTCTTTGCTATCAGGGTAATAGTAAGATTTGGAAGTCTTCTAGAAGAGTTAATACTTTTAGCAGAGAAATGGTAGGAACTTAACTATAGCGATTAAAATAAATATCCGGAATTATTCAGAGAGGTTGTATTTGATTATTATAAAATAAAAAACAAAGAAAAGTATTTATTAACATTTTGCCGGGGTGGTAATACATAATTACCTATATAATAACATACGTGAGGTGTAATAATTATAACAATTATAATTTATTACATACGATGCGCTTATTGTTGCCACTGTACGTTTTATTTTAATAGTTTCTTTTTATATACCTACGCAAATATTCAACTAACCATTGTTCCAAACAGTTTTTAGACACAATATCGATTTTCTCAGCTGACCAAGATAGCTCTCCTGTCACTTACCAAGTGTTGCCGTTTGCGGGTATTTTACTCGGAAATCGGGTATTTTCGTCATGTTTGCGGGTAGAATTTTGAAGCGGGTAAAATCGGATAGTTTGCAAATATCGATCAGAATACTAACTGAAAAAATTTTCGGTAAATAATATTGTGTATACAAAATAATAAATAAATAATAATTATGCATTTTTAGTAAACATACTTTACTAGTTTACTAAAAATGCATAATTATTTTATATATATATAGGATATCCTGTTACATTTTTATTTACTTAAATAAAAATTTTAAATCAATTTGATTAATTTTTTTAAAACAGGGCGAATGCGCTAGTAAATTTAAAATATAAGTAGTTTTTTAGTATTTTGTAATTTTTTGTCGGGAACTTTTATGACATTCATCCGGCAACACTGTATAAAACTCATGAAGCAATGAAAGCAGCTCGAAGATCAACCCTATTTGTTTTATGAGTTCAACTGTCGACCATATGCCTTGCGTTGCGAAGAATTGTTATAGTTATTATACCTTATGTACTTAATCAACGTATACGTACACACAGGGCCGTTCATAGCCCCTCGGCCACCTTTGTGCAAATATAAAAACGCCGCCCCTTTGTTTAAAAAATAAACCTTATATATAAATACCTACTTATATATTTAACAACATAGCATGTCATAGTATGGGCAGTAAAGCGTTTTGCGCAAGCACCCTGCGTGCGCCAAACGCTGTACTGCCTAAACTAAGCCATACGTGTTTAATATTTTTCATCTGTGCCGAGAACACTGAACATAACACACATTTTCGCCGAATGCATTAAACGGCGGCCGCCCTACCACCTTATCTATAACGTGACGGCTTTTCCAAGAAACGCGTCTAGGCTTTCCGTATATTTTTTGTAAATTCGCAGCAGTACAAAAAACCAATGGTCGGCAATATAATTAATACTACGAGTGTAGAGGTTTTATGTTTGAAGCATTAACTTGAATAAAATGCAACTTTATTTTTTTTATTTTTGGGATATTTTTATAGAGATGGGAAAATTCCCATTTGACGAAAATTCCCGGAAACTTTCCATCGAAAATTCCCGAAATTTTCCGAAAGTTTCAAAAAAGAATTTTTTATTGCGAAAATATTTTTTTTTATGCCAGGGATTTGAAAAAATATATAACACATTAACTTTTTGTCAAATTTTATTAAGAAAAAAAATAAAAAAAAATATTTATAAGAATGTAACTGCAATACTATTTTTAGCACAATCCACACATTGTGGATTGTGATTTTTAATATCTTTTACTTTGGAATATTCCTATTGTATACTGAAACCTACAAAATAAAAATAAAATGTTTACTATTAAAAATTCACTGCTAGTAAATCCTAGATATTACGTAAAAAAAATTAAAAGGGACAAAGTAACTAATATATAGGAATATTGAAAAGATACTAAAAATAGTATTGCAGTTCTGACTGATAAAATATGAAAGAAAATACTACAGGCAAAATAAAATTAACATTTCTGACTAGTAGTGACTACCATTGCACATAAAAAAATAGCAAAAGTAAAAAACACAAAATAGGATTTTTTTAAAACCAAACAGGTAAATAAAAGTGTTATTGCTGTATTTTAGTTTAGTTTTTTGCGATGATGCTGAATAATCCGGCTTCATTGAGGTTATGTAACATAACTTACATTATTTATACTTCTTCTTCTGCTTTAAATTAACACACATTAAATTCTTATTCAAAGTTTCTTGGCCTTGTATCATGGCCTTAACGAAAATCAGCGGTTAAACAATTGACATTTAAATGAAAAAAACAAGGAAAGTTTCCAAGGAATGTTTCCAAGGAATGTTTCCGGTAGCTTAAAAGAAACTTTTAAAATGAAAATAAATTCCCAATTGGAAACTTTCCAAAACGGAAAGTTTCCTTAAAATGGAAACTTTCCGATTCCCATCTCTATATTTTTATAACCAAATAGCAAAGTTTTACTGTTTCTGCAGACGGCTTGCGGCCGCCCCTTTGTTCGGCCGCCTTTGTGCTGGCACAACGTGCACACCCCTAAAAACGGCCCTGCGTACACAAACCAAACGTATATCCCAACTGTTTTATTCTGTTCAATTAAAATAAAGTTTGTTTACCTATATTGTAAACATTGCTTCCGTGTTTTTATAAGCCTTGTAACAACACAAAAACAGTGTTTATAAATACTTTTCATTGTGCTTTCTTTTGCAATAACCAAATACAACATCTCTGAATAATTCTGGATATTTATTTTAATCGCTACAGCTACCCACCATTTCTCGGCTAAAAGTCTTAATAAGTCTTATTAACTCTTCCAGAAGACTCCCAAATATTGCTATTAGTCTAACTTACTAAGACTTATTCAGACTTTTTCCGACTTAATAAGTCTTATTCTGACTTTTTAAGAGAAAGTAAGACTTTCAAAACTCTTATTAAAACTTTCTCAGAGAAAAATTTCTACAAGGGTTGGCCGCAAACGATTAAAGAAATTAGTTAGGTACTTTAAATAAACTGCGCACCACTCAATGTCCAAAAATTTCGTCCTTTTTCAAAACGACATAACTTTTTTTGTTTCTTGAACGATTTTATTTTGGTTTGTGATGTCTGCTAGCCCCATACTCTGGCAATTCATACTATAGATATTAAGCTCACGGTTCTTTAAGTAAATTTACTACAGGTTGATATGTAAAAGTTCATCCAAGCCCCGTTTGTAAAATAAATATTTTTTTCTCGTTTTTATTTTGAAATATTGAAGTATTATGTCTTACCTTGAAACATTTTTCAAATTTTTCGAATTGGAATCTTAGCAACAAAAATATGATTTTTTTTTCAATGGAGTACATTTGATTCTTTTTTTGTAGGCAATACACTCAGCCTTTTTAAGAACAAAAAGATAAGATGGTGAAAGATTGTTCCTTGAATAATTCTGAACAAGCGACAAGCAACAAACTTTCATTATTTTCAGAGGAACCTAAGCAAATACCACTTTTTCAAAATGACATTTTGGTGAAAATTTTCGAAAACTAAACCTGAACCGATATTTACATTCGTGACATGTTTTATTCATAATTTTGACCTGATTTTGATTCAATTGTCAAATTTAGTTTAGATAAAACCAAAATCACCAAGAATCAAAATTCGAAAACAATTCCTGGCTGTTAAATCTCAATAAAATCTGATTGCTGGATTTTCCTGTGTTTTGCATCTTTAGTACGTTATTATTCATGTCAATGAATAATCAAATCAAGGATCAAATGATGAAAATTAAATGCCAATAATTTGGTGGTGGACGACAATGCCCGTCCGCATCGCGCTAATATCGTAAATGAGTATTTAAGGGACCATGGAATTTACCAAGGAATTGGTAAATTCGATTCAGAAATAATGGGAAGCCAAACCCCAGGAATTTCTAAGGAACTTAGTCTAGGGAATGCCCAGGAGGGTTAACGAATTATTACGGATTAGGTGAGGGCCAACGAAATATTGAAAGTTATTATTGTTATTGTTTGTTACATTTTTCTGTTGAATTTTTTAGTTTTTATTATGATTATATCTTCGCATAAAATTTTCAAAAATGAACAAATAAATTTTGTATTTACCTTTATTACCAATTAGGTAGGTACTTATCAGTAATTAGTTATCACTATAGTGCGCAATATAAATCTAATTTATGTAACATTATCCTAACCACTCAAACACACTGCAGTAATTTTCGCAAAAAATGAATCCCCAAATGGCATTGGCAAAGGCATGTTATTGAGATATTTAACAGCCGGGAATTGTTTTTGAATTTTGATTCTTGGTGATTTTGGTTTTATCTAAAACTTAAATTTGACAACTGAATCACATCAGGAGGTCAAAATTATAAAGCAAACATGTCACGAACGTAAATATCGGTTCAGGTTTAGTTTTCGCAAATTTTCTCCAAAATGTCATTTTGAAAAAGGGGTCTTTGCTTAGGTTCCTCTGAAATTAATGGAAGTTTGTTGCTTGTCGCTTGTTCAGAATTATTTAAGGAACAATCTTTCACCATCTTATCTTTTTTATCTCAAAAAGGCTGAGTGTATTGCCTACAAAAAAGCATCAAATGTACTCTTTTGAAAAAGAAATCATATTTTTGTTGCTAAGATTCCAATTCGAAAAATTTTAAAAATCTTTCAAGGTAAGACATAATACTTCATTATTTCAAAGTAAAAACGAGAAAAAAATAAATAATAAATAATAAAAACGGGGCTTGGATGAAGTTATTGAAATTTTTCACTGTTTTAAATATCACCCTGTCGGAAATTTACTTGAAGAACCGTGAGCTTCATATCTATAGCATGAATTTCTAGAAAATGGGGCTAGTAGACATCACAAACCAAAATAAAATCGTTTAAGAAACAATAAAGTTATGTCGTTTTGAAAAAGGACGAAATTTTTGGTCGCGACACATTGACTGGTGCGCAGTTTATTTAAGTCGGTAAAAATAACTATTTAAAAGTGAAAACGACTATTTTATTAGTAAAAAATGCTGGTACTAATTCAAATAGTATAATTTTAACTATTTCATTTTAAGAGAGTACCGGAAATGGCGTACTAACGCTCGAGAGCACAGTGAACTGGAATAGTAAAAAAGTAGCCAAAATTCATTAAAAAAACTAATAAAGATATCATTACAAAATTTAAACACCATAGTTGTGTATCATTAATCTTGATTTTAAATAATTAAAATCTTCTCCAAGAAAATTTAAAACTAAAAATGTATTATGTACAAAAAATTTTCTGTAATTAATTCAGTACTCTCTAAAAATGAATTAGTCAAAAATTAGACTATTTACTAGTTATTAGTATGGTTAATCATCCCAGATAACATTATGTGATGGTTGGAGCAACATTACGAGGTTCATAATTTACAGTCACAACGTGATTCTTAATCCGCACGTATATAACATATATGCATCATTTGCGTCATCAATTGAGGTTCATATAGAATTTTGGACTTGCATTGCCTTAATTTGATTGTTTTTCTTACGTTTCGATTAGTAATTAACTTTAATTGTCTTCAGTTATTACCTGAAGACCATTAGAGATAATTACTAATCGAAACGTTGTAAGAAAAACAAACAAATTAAGACAAGGCAAGTCCAAAACTCAGCTGTTAATCATCTAAAAAATTGATTTATTGCGAAATTTTGGTCAATAAGTAATAATCCAAAAGATCTTTTTCTTTAAGTCATTTATTTTAGTTTTTGTGACAATTGTCTACATTTATAGAAATTTATCTTATTTAAATTAAAATAATATATCTTATTTTAATTAAAATAAGGTATCTTTTTACAAATTCATAAATAAATTAATGATAAATTAATTTATAAACGTGATCTTAAGATCCACTTTGGAATTCCAAATAAAAGTATGTATATTTTTTATACAAATGTAGTCTACAAATTTAGTCTTTACAAATCCAGTCTTTTCACAAATTAACCATATGGTGTAAGTCAATTTTTTTAGTTATAATATGAAGTAAAATCAACAATTTTCGCAAGATGTAATGTAGATCTTGTATTACATCTACAATTTTTCGATAACTATTCAGCAAAAGGGAAAAGTTTGCAATCATTTCGTGCCCTCATATACCAATCACGTGGGTGTATCATGAATATCATACCGCAGCGTTTTTACCGTCACGCATGATTCCGCACGACGTACGAGGCGATGTGCGTTTTGATGCCCCTCACGGTTGTTATCTGGGATGGTATATCCAACATTTAACAGCCAATTCTGATGAAAATTATAAAAGTAGAGTAGTTTCTGAGATATAGTCAATTCCATATTATATGGAAAATCGACTATATCTCAAAAACTGTTCTATATAAGTTTTTACGACATTTTCGGATTCAGGGAAAAATGTTACATAGAAATGTTCGGGATAGAAATTGCTATTGACGAGAAAAAATGTATTGGTAATTTTTTTTTTTAATTTAAAATATTAAGTATTATTATTTTAGCCCCCAGAACCTGTACAAAACTGGGAAGGAATTCTGGACTGTACAAAAAGCACGAAAATTTGTTACCAAGTTTGGAACGATGTTAAAGAGGAAACAGAGGACTGTCTACTTTTAAATATATTTACACCGATAGTATGTATTATAAGTACCTATAGCCTATACCTATAGGCTATAGGTATACTTAAGTATACTTAACATATTAAACTTATAATTCATTTGAACTTTTCTCCAAGGCTCCAAGACAAAATGCTTCATTACCGGTTATTTTTCATATGTTTGCGGGGGGGTTTGTCTTTGGTTTGTCCACATTTGATTCAAACGGGCCTCATTACTTCATGGAATATGATGTTGTTATTGTAACTGTTAATTACAGAATAGGACCGTTTGGTAAAAATCCTTTTAAACTGTTGTTTATGATTTTACAATTCTATTTACCAGGATTTCTGTCAACGGGAGACACAATTGTACCGGGAAATATGGGTCTAAAAGATCAAAACATGGCTCTCAGATGGTTGCAGAAAAATATTCAGTTTTTTGGAGGGGACCCTAATAAAGTGACGATATTTGGAATGAGCGCTGGGTCCGCTTCTGTTACATACCATGTTATTAGTAAACAATCCAAAGGCAAGTACCTATAGGTATATTATGGTATACCATAACATATTATATGGGTGAATATCCAAAACGGGGATAAATTGGCGTGGTAAAAAAATAAAAAGCAAAGATTAATAAAACACTAGCAAAATAATACCTCAATGTGTATTTCTTAATAACATAAAGTAATTTCAAGGCGGCTATAAATTAAACTTAATACTTAATACGTTCTGAACCATGGAGTTGACACAATAACATAAAAACTGTTCTGTTGATTTGTGAATTAGATAAGATAACTTTAAATTATCTTCTGAATCTGAATCTGAAGAGATGTCAGAAAAGAACCATCTTTTAGCAAATGTTTGCAAATGATTTTTAACATAAAAATTTCCTAATCCATAATGTTCACAATCGTTTTGGAATGCACAGTCCAAGAAACTTAGTCGACGAAGATTTACGTGCGGGAAAACAGTGCCTTTCGCCAGTTGTATTTTAATATACTATTAATACTTTTATTTAAATAAAATAATATTATTCTTAAAACATGCAAATAAAGGAAACAAAATTCGATCTTTCAAGTGCCGGATATCCGGCTTGCCGGATATTCGGGATCCGGTGTCTGGCCAAACAACTATCCATTTCATCTCTATGTGTATATGCTGTATATAGTTATAATAATAATACTATTAGAGAATTTTTTTAAAGAAAAATTAAATTTAATTTATAATAATTTAACTATATATTATTAATTATCGATAATAATGCCTTAACTTATATGAGCTAAGAGTTTAGGGCAATAATAAGAAAGTAAACAACTCCATGGGCATACCTTTTAACTCCATTGAGTTGATGTCCATGGAGTTGATGTTTTTATAGTTAAAGTCACAAACTTTAGAAAATGGTACATAATGTATCTTTAGTTAAATGTAATTTAAGCAAAGCATATTTGATTATTTCACCTGGAGAAAGTTTAAATTTCAATTGTATTTAAATCCCTTTGTTATTAAAGACATGGAGTTGATCTTTAATAAAAATACTTACCCGGTTTTTCGCAAATAATTGTTCTTTATAAATTTTTATTAAATATTATACCCCCTTTGCCTTGCTTACACAAATCAACACTAAATCACTCAAACGACGAAGTCTTCAAACATTACTAAAATACGTTTTATACAGGGGATTTATCATATATTAAAAGACTGCAAAGAACTCAGCTGTAAAATGGTGTCTCATGCTTTGTTCGACATTTTGGGTTAAAATATCAATAAGTTTGCTTTTGGTTGTGTTTTTTTATACATTCCAAGTTAGAGGAAATGCAATATGAAAGAATCATTTCACAATTGCATCTAGTCTAATAGTATATGGATGAGTTGTTGTCCCTACGCTAGGTGGTGACAGTCCATGGAGTTGACTTTGAAGCGTTTAAGCAAATTGAAATTAATAAAATAAATAATGTTTTATTTTTTTGGTTAAGTACGTTCTACTGCAAGACATAAACTGTCTATTGTAGTGTTATTTAAATGCTAACCACTTTTATTAGTATATTTTATTTAAGAGTTTCAGCATATTTGCTCCGTTCTGGAGAATCACCCATATTGGTTAAGTTAATATAAAAATCTTAAAATTTATTTACAGGATTGTTTAGAGCAGCAATGGGTGAAAGTGGTTCCGCTCTATGCCCATGGACTTATCAAAGATATGCTAAAAAAGTAGCCCATCAACTCGCGAAGCTTGTTGATCCCAATTTCAATTCTTCCTGTAGTAAACAGTTGTTAACTTTATTACAAAATGTTTCTGCAAGAGATATAGATAAAGTATCAAATCGTGTTAATGTAGGTTTTACCATCCTAGTGTTGAAATCAAACCATATCTTTCCAAAGGTTTTTGATGAATTAATTTTTTACCTCAAAATAGAGAAGATTAAAAGATTTTGAAAAACTGCTTTTGGTTTAAATTTTTCGATAACCTGATGAGCGATTGAGGATTTAGGATGAAACGATTCAGGATTCAGATGGTCAAAAACCTTTGGAAAACTTTATTCTGGTTTCTATTATTTTTTTTTAAACTTGTCTTATTAATTTAACAATTGTTTGCCTTATTTAAGCCTGGTTACACTATGGAATTAATTTTTGGTTTTAAGTACGCCCCTGTCATTGAACCCGAACATGATGGCGCATTCATAACGAAAAATATTTACGTTTCTATAGAAAAGGGGGAGTTTACTAGGGTTCCTATGATGTTGGGTATAGCTTCTGAAGAGGGACTTTTGCAAGTAGGCGGTACTTAAATGTAATAATAATCTAGTGACCTTTTTTACTGGAATAATTTTTAAGATAATCGGACCGAATTTAGGGAAAAAATGGCATCATTTGACAACAATTTAACAGAAATAGTCCCCTTCGATTTACACATTACAGACCCAACATTAAAAGAAACTGTTGGTAGGGAAATACGAAACATTTACACAGACGGAATGTTCCAAAATTCAGATGCTGCATCCACCAAAGTAACACCTACTAAATAAAATATTGTTGATTTGTTACTTTAACATCCCTTGTTGCAGCATTTAAGTGACACTTGTTTTTCAAGAGCTATTATTAAACATGTCGAATTGCATTCCAAATATGCTGACGCCTTTTTGTATCAATTCTCCTATGATGGCACAATTACAAAACCCATAATGCCCTATTATGTTAAAGGTAAAAAACTATATTTTTCATTTTTATTAGAATGTTTTTTTGAATATTCTTAACTATTGCTCCCTAAACACTTGTGTTGATATGAAGATAAAATACATATTTTTCCAGGTGCTGAAAGAGTAGCTCATACTGAATACTCCACATATATTTGGGCTTACAATGACAATGACGACATAACAAGTTTTCCCGAAAGCGATATTTTGACATCAAAAAGATATTTAACACTTCTAACCAACTTTGCCAAAACCATGTAAGTACCCAAATGTTATATCATGTTATATCATCCAAATTATAAAACCTAAATTTGGTTACAGAAATATTTATATCATTTTTATATAACCCTTAAAGAGCTTATTTAGGGAGTTTATGAAGGTTATAGGTACCTATTTTAGTAACATTATAAAACACAAGTTTTATAACTAGAGATAACAGGAATATTATGGAAACTACTATTTAACTTCGTAAAGAACTGATATCGGCTTTTTCCTTCTTTTAATATTTCTCTCTCCCTCAGGCACATTTAAAATATATATTTCTCTTAGGTACGCTATCTTTCTTATTGTCATCTTATTCAATAACTTGTTTAAACCACGTGAATATTTTAAGAAGCCAAGTATGGCGTAAATATTAATGGTATATAATTTAAATCGAAGATTTTGTACTCAATACCACTTAAAGTGCAAAGTAATTTTTATTGTAAATACATTGAGTAAAGACACTTTACTCAATGGTAAATATGTACACAATAATTAACAGGGGACGTCACAATACTAAAACATAAATATTTTTTATACTATTAAAAAAATATATGAACATATTTTTTTGTAATATATTAATATCTTTCTTTTGCTTACATTCAACAAGGTGTGCATTTTTACTTTGGTTTGGTCAATTAGCATTTATATTATGGCGAAAAGAATGTATCAACCTTGAGCCCTCTTATATTGCTCATGGTAATTTTATATATCCTAAGGTACTAGTTCAGTTTTATAGGACTATCTAAGTTACTTAAAGTGTTATTATATAATTTTGAAACTCTTATACACATTGTAGTAACTGTCGTTACTACAAGTGATGTTATAAATCTTTTGATAGGCAACCATCTAACCGCCATTTTTGCCTGCAGTATTAAAGGTTTTAACGCAATGGAATCAAATTATTTCACTAAACATTCGATTTAATCCACCTTTAAAATATTTATTCTAATAAAATTATATTACTTATATATTATTTGCTAAATATTTTCTTTTCAACCAATTTTTCAAAAGCTAATACCTATTCTTAATTTTTGTTTCAATTACTATACATTTTTGGTTTATTAAGCACATAAATAATAAATAACTTACAATGTTTATTTTAAAAAATTAGTTTTATAAAACAAGTAACCGCAAACTTAATAAAACTCCTTTATAAACCTACTGGTAACGGTTACTTAAGGTTATATAAAATGTTTGTAGAATCAATTATATAACCTAATTATATACCTAGAGTTTACAGTAACCTTATATGACCATTATAAAATTAGTAAACTAAATGGCGATATTATAAAACCTTGTTAAACTCTTATATAATTTGACAACCCTTATATAACCATTATACAGGGTCTTTCATAATATATGCGCAGGACTTCAGGATGTGATAGCTCAACCAAAAAGATGAAAAAAGTCGCTATTAACTTACCCTCTAAAATGCACAATTTTCGAGATACAGGGTGTTGAAATTTTAGAAAAAAAAATCAATTTTTTCGATTATCTCTGGAACCGTTTATCGTACAAAAAACAGCTTTTGTAAGCATTTTCTACTCATAATAAGCTATGTTTTGTGCCAGAAAAAATTTTTTTTTACTCATAATTGGTGGAGATTTTGAAGGGGTAGCGGGTGTTTTTCTCCTCAACTTCTACGCCCCTGAAAAAAGTACGGTTTTGAGAGGCCCATTCGAACCGCCAATGTTTTCTACAAAAAAAGGTACTCTTGGTCATAAGCTCTAAAGTTGACCGTTTTCGAGAAAAATCAACTTTTATGTTTAAAAACATGGTCAATTTTTTGAAAAATTTTGTTTATTACTAATTAAACAAAATTTATTTTAAGGTTAGAAAAAGTAACAAAATCAAACGATAATTGCAAAATTAAAAAAATAAATAAAAAATGATTTTTTACACAAATGCTGAAATGTGCGAAATGCGTTACCTTTACGGTTTGGAGAATTTAGCAAAGACAACTTTTGAATCATTTTTTATTTTGCAATTATGGTTTGGTTTTGTTACTTGTTCTAATGTTAAAATAAATTTTGTTTAATTAGTAAAAAAATTTTTTTTTTTTTTTAAATTAACCATGTTTTTAAACATAAAAGTTGATTTTTCCCGAAAACGGTCAAGTTTAGATCTTATGACCAAGAGTACCTTTTTATGTAGAAAACGTTGGCGGTTCTCAAAACCGTACTTTTTTCAAAGGCGTAGAAGTTAAGGAGAAAAACACCAGCTACCCCTTCAAAATCTTCACCAATTATACGGAAAAAAAATTTTTCTGGCACAAAACATAGCTTATTTTGAGTAGAAAATGCTTACAAAAGCTGTTTTTTGTACGATAAACGGTTCCGGAGATATTCGAAAAAAACGAATTTTTTTCTAAAATTTCAACACCCTGTATCTCGAAAATTGTGCATTTTAGTCTAAAAATTTTAGAGCGTAAGTTAATAGCGACTTTTTTCATCTTTTTGAATGAGCTATCACATCCTGAAGCGCATATATTATGAAACACCCTGTATAATTTATCGTTACCATAAGTAGTACAAATTGTTTATTGGGTATGGTACAGGGTGATCCCCTAGGGATTATAGCTATAATGTCGCCCCCCTTTAACTTTCTTATTTTAAGTGTCCGAAAAAATTTCAAAGTGGGGTTATGTAGGTACTAAAAAATACTTTTTTTCTACGTATAAAGAAAATTGGAAAATTGATCAGTATACAGGGAAAAACAAAAAGTTTATTTTTTTTCAATGGATCACCCTATATATGTATTTATTTTTCAATTCCTTGTAAAATTCTAAGCACATTTCATATAACATACCATATACCTAAATTCAACCGTTTCTGAAATATTGATATTATTTTTAAGATAGTAAGTTGAAATAGTTTGTCTTTCTCTGTCTGAGTAGGCCATTTTTACTTATTTAACAAGACGTATTGACATAATGTCACTATAATAATTTATTTTCAATAAAAATTTTGGTATACTGAGGCTTCTTGATTTCTAACAGTTTAAAAAAACATTTAATGATAACATTTCGAATGCGAATATTTCAGAAACAGTTAAATTTAGGATATGGTTTGTTATATGAATTACAATTTTACAAGGAATCGAAAAATAAATTCATATATAGGGTGATCCATTGAAAAAAAATAAACTTTTTGTTTTTCCCTGTATATTGATGAAATTTTTCATTTGTTTTAATAGGTAGAAAAAAAGTATTTTTTAGTTCCTACATAACCACACTTTTAAATTTTTTGGGACACTTAAAATAAAAAAGTTAAAGGGGGGCGACATTATAGGGGATCACCCTGTACATGCTACAAGATTTCTTTATTTAGGTATTAAACAATATATCTGTATCAAATTGATACTATCAATCAATCAACATATTTTGGAAGGTTTTTGTAAATTTTTATTTCATTTTAAGGAACCCTACTCCAAAGGAAGACGATATGCTTCAAAACATTTCTTGGCCCAAAGTGGAAATAAAGAATTATCAATATTTGGATATAGACACTGATTTGTCCGTTAAGAAAAATCCCAAAGAAGAATCTTACACCAAATGGGTAGATTTATATGAGAGACGTGGAGTTAAACCTTATGACACCTATTGAATAAATCTTATAAATTATGCATTATTTTCCTTATAAATAAAAAAATTCGTAAGCAAGGTCGCGATGTTTATTATTATATAAAGTCAACCGTAAAAAAATGCAATATCTATAGGGTGATCCATGTTAAGTCTACTCACAATTTGAAATTTTTTTTATACTTTTTTGAAATAAATAAGTACGCCACTGAATGCGGCATGCCTCAAAATAGATACAACCCAAATTTCATTAAAAACGAACAATTAATAACCATTTTAGGCCATTTTTTTTTAAATATATATAACAAAAATAAAACACATTTAGGAGGTTTAGGAGAAAAATAAGTACGCCACTGAACGCGGCATACTTCAGAATGGGTGCAAACTTAATTTCGTCAAAAACTGACTATTAATAACTAAACTGCGCACCACTCAATGTGTCGCGACCAAGAACCGATATTCTTTATAATTTTGACCTCCTGATTGTGATTCAGTTTTTAAATTTAAGTTTCAGATAAAACCAAAATCACTAAGAATCAAAATTCGAAAACAATTCCCGGCTGTTAAATGTCTTAATAAAAACCTATTGCTGGCGTGTTTCTTGCATATTTATGATTAAAATGCCATTTGGGGATTCATTTTTTGTTCGAAATTACTGCAATATGTTTGAGTGGTTAGGTGGTTAGATAATAAAGTTAAATAAAAATATTTTTGTTCATGTAGAAAAATTTTATGTGAAGATATAAAACTTATGCAAAAAAACTTCGAAATTTGGAAAAACACAAGCAAACTAACAAAATCAAGAATATCCCTCATAATGCTAATTTTGATTTGATCCTCGATTTAATCATTCAGCGACATAATAATAACGTACTTAAGATGCAAAACACTGTATAAAAACAGTAAAAACCAGCAATCGTATTATATTAAGATATTTAACAGCCGGGAATTGTTTTCGAATCTTGATTCTTGGTGATTTTGGTTTTATTTCAAACTTAAATTTGTCAACTGAATCATAATCAGGAGGTAAAAATTATGAAGAAAACATGTCACGAACGTAAATATCGGTTTAGGTTTAGTTTTCGCAAATTTTCACCAAAATGTAATTTTGAAAAAGTGGTTTTTGCTTAGGCCCTCTGAAAATAATGGAAGTTTGTTGCATGTCGCTTGTTCAGAATTATTGAAGGAACAATCTTTCACCATCTTATCTTCTTGTTCCTTAAAAGAGTGTGTAGGTATTGCCTACAAAAAGCCTTAAATGTACTCTTTTGGAAAAAAAAATCATATTTTCGTTGCTAAGATTCCAATTCGAAAAATTTGAAGAACCTTTCAAGGTAAGACATAATACTTCATTATTTCAAAGTAAAACGAGAAAATAATTATTTTTTTACAAACGGGGCTTGAATGAAGTTATTGAAATTTTTCACCGTTTAACATATCACCCTGTAGGAAATTTACTTGAAGAACATAGAGCTTCATATCTATATCAAGAATTGCCAAAAAAGTTATGTCGTTTTGAAAAAGAAGGAACTTTTTGGTCGCGACACATTGAGTGGTACGCAGTTTATTTCAGAGAAGTTTATTTTATCCTCTATTGTTTGTCTCGTGAAGAATGTTCAATTAACAAGTGGATAGACCGCCCAGTAAGCTGTCACTTATCACTTAACACTTCCTTGAACGTAGGGTAGTCTCTACTTACTGTAGTTGCTAGTAGCAACTACAGTAAGTAGAGACTTGTAAGTAGCAACTTGCTACACTATAGTTTTGGCTATTATGTTTTAAAAGGTCTCGATACGATACGATACGTCTTACTATGTCAAGTATTCGAATGTGACCTCAGATGTACAATAGTATACTATATATATATATAATATAAATAATTTTTATAATTTTTTACAAGTAAAACCTTTTAATATTTTTTAATAAATTGCCTTCATAAAATTAGCAAAAATAATAACCGATAGCTGATAAACCATAGTGTCACGTAATGATTGTTTTATTAAAAACGTTGAGAAAAAATCCATACTGCGCGTGAAACAATCAGTTTCGAGTATTACATGTATTGCATGGTTTCGTAATTTTATCCGGTGGAGATGTTAGCTGGTCACCAAATTACTGCGATCTAACCCTTCTAGACTTTTTTTTTATTGGTGTAAGCCAGCGTTGCCAACCCTACGGATTTTTCCGTAGATCTACGGATTTTAAGGGTCATTAACGGATAACCGGATTTTGTCTGAAAATCTACGGATATTTGGACATTATCGCATAATTCATAATTACTTGATATTTTATGTATTAGAACCTGCGACAAGTAAAAAATTGTTTGAAACCCTTTTTATATTTTCTAACTATTTCGCTCCGTCCAGTAAACGGCAGGTATAAAACCTTGCACTGAACGTACTAATGGGACGTTTCATGGAACGCACTCATTAGTTTAGGAATGTTGTGTTTGTTACCAGCAGGTTACCAGAAAAGGTGCTGTCTGTCAAAAAGATGCTGTGAAAAAAATGGCAATTAAAGTTTTAAATTTGTTTTGGTATCTATTTACATTTAAAAGTTTTTTATACATGTATCACACTATTAGTATCTAATTACATTGTTTATAAATATATGTATTTTTGAAATGTGAAAATCTTAAAAGCGCCAAGCACTACCTACTAAGAAAATGTCAATGCCATAGATAATAAATCAATGCTAAATAACTGAACAGCTGATAAATATTGAGTACCAATCAAAATTTTTAGTGAAAATTCGTAAATCTATCCAAGTTTCTAAGTCGCCGCGGTGCCTGCCACCTCTGATCCCTGGTACGGATAAATGTCCGGATTTTACCCTTCACCCACGGATTTCTACGGATATTTGACTACAGAACTCAGGATTTTTCGAAAGGTTGGCAACGCTGGTGTAAGCAGTGGCGTAACTACCACCGGTCCTTCCCTTATTGCTAAGAATGTTCTTAGGGACTTTTCAAACATTCAATAGATACCCTTTTAATGATGCAATAAAATTCTTAAAAGCTTTTTAAAACCTTCCTAAAAAGCATCCTAAGAACATTTTAAGAATACGTTTTTGGAATGTTCTTAGGTTTCTTATGGAGCTTCTACGAAGCTTTTGATAATATTTCCAAATATGTCAGATACCCACGTTCTAATATGTTGTATTCTACATTCGTAAAATTCTTCAGGAGACGACAAATACGCCCCACTGTCATATGACAGTGAAATGTATTTGTCGTCCCCTTAAAAAATGTTGCGACATATTATTATATATTTATTTCAAAATATTAAATAAACAATTTGACCTCTAAACCATAAGTTGTATGACATTATTTTATAAAAAGTAAAATTGGAAAATTTTGTGGGATAAGTCAGATTAGATTGAAGTTGAAGATAGTTAGGATTATTATACATAAAAATGTAAATTCAGAAATAAAAAATCTGTGTACAAATTAATAAATATTTATTTTTAACATAAAATAAAATACCTATATACCTATATAGTAGAAGTATTTTTGTTATCGAATATTGTTTTAGTTTGACAAATAACCATAAAAAATATTTTGGATTGTGTTTTTTACTTAGTATTTAATACTAATTACTAATTAGGTACTTAAGTATAGGTATATACCTTTATACATAGTTTAGTATATTTTACTATTATATAGGTAACTGAACTAAATATGCTTAACAGGAATATTCCCAAATGAACTTTCTATAGCAATTACTTTCTTAACATTCTAAGCATATGTTTAGAGTAGACTAATTTTTAGCACTAAAACTTTGCACCTTCTAAGAACCTGCCTATAGGCCAGTAAGAATATTCTTAGGATCATGCTATATGTCTTTCAAACATGTTCTTTAGAAGAAATATAGCATGATCCTAAGAATATTCTCACTGGAAGGTTTAAAAAACATTCTTAGAATAAAGTGTGCTATCAGGGTACCGGTTTCAGAGACCGGGGCCTCGAGTACCAGGGGGTCCCCAGAAGTGGCAAGAGATTTTTTTTATCTAAATGTAAGAAAAATGTTCAATATGAAAAAATAAAAAAATTTTTTTTTGTAGTAATAAATATTCGTTGCCTGCTTTTTTTCAAATTTCTGAACTAAAAATTTGGAAATAAATATTTTGAAATAAACATAGGTTAATTGTGAATTTAAAATAACAAATCTAGAATCATAAACTCGAAATCGAATACTTCACATCGAAAGTCTGAAATTTTGAATAGAAAATTCTTAGTCAAAAATAGAAAGTCAGAGATGAAAAAATAAAAATGAAAAATTTGCAATCTAAAATAAAAAAATTTCGATTTCACATTTACAATTTTGGAAAAGTTTAGTGATTCAAAAAAAATTCTGGCTAGGGCCCCCTAGTGAAAATCCGACTGAGGCCCCCATTTCTATAGTTACGTCACTGGGTGAAGTATCCTTTATTGCATCACCTTTAATATTTTACCTAATTCTCTTTTTCTCTAAAATAAACTAAATGCTCATTTAAAAAAACTATTTATTAATTGGAAATTTCATCTTGAACTCTGGCTATGGCAGTAAAATTAAGCCAAACATGTTTATCGTGCATAAATCTAATGACTGTCTTTGAAAGAGTATTTGGGAACGGAATCGGTACGGCTAATTGGGTAGCCATATTTACTATATTATGAGGCCCCTAAAAATAAAATATGACATTTTATTTATTTATTTTAAACTAACCAATCATATATTCATTTTGAATCAAAATCACTTAGCATATCTAAATCTTCTTATTTTTCAAAGCAATCTTGAGCAAATTTTAATAATGTGACATTAACTGTTTTTTGGAATTATTAATAGGTATTTAAATTATTTTTTCAGGCATCACTTCTTACTTTTTGTAATGGACAGGTCATTCGGGCATTTGCAAAGGCAGGAACGTCTTGTAGAAAAAACAAGTTAGCTTTTGCTTCCAACATGTCACAAAAATTCCTGGTCCCTGATATTCCAGTTGCTTTGAATTGGTTATCTGACCATTTGTAAACATCGAAACCAACCTAAGATATGCATTTCATTAGTTTGTTCCATCACGTCAACCTTTTGAGAAATTCTACAC